ATTATCCTCAGTTGTGTTCCAGTTCTCATAGCCACAATCTCGATGCAAAATACTTTGTCCCAATATTTGGCTCTTATTCAATCTTGGGGCTCATTTAGCACAGCCTGCAGTTTCTGTGTGCCTCATTCAGAAGCTTCAAACACTAGCTTGAGACAGGAAGCTAGAAGGACTACTACTACCATAAAAGCAAGCTCTGCCATATTTTGGGACTACATCTATTGTCGGAACGCGATTTTCACTTATTCTCAAGCACTGCTGTTTTGTGATGGTATTACTCTAGTCTAGTTCTTGTTCAATTTCCTGCTCCCCATCCCTTTGTCTTTCCCAGAGTCAATGTGTAGACTGTAAATCAGCAACAGAAAGTGCAGATTCAAGAGAATTCAGTGTACCCCCCAGGCTGTACGTTCTGTGGGGTAGAGGCAAATCTAGGTGAACTCTGAGAAGGCTCCAAATAAGTGTAAGCTCTTCCAGGCAGGCTCATAGTCGTCTTGTTGATTTTATTCTCAATGTTTACTAAATACAAAAAGACAACTTTCTAAATTGTTAAACTTGACACAAAATAAGATGTATTCTGTGTGGAGCCTTATCAGAGATCTTGACAAGGCATGCCTCGTTAGGTAATCAGCGGTTGAATGTTTAGGAAAGAATTGCAGCAGTGCTTTGAACTTCAGCATGCCCACATACTGTGTATATTTCTCCTGAACAAACATAATTGCACACCCAAAGAGTGGAGTGCTCATCCTTCATCCTGCATAACTCTCAGAAATGTGGAAACTGTCTCTCTGAGTTGAATGATTCAATTGTTAATATACTTCCTGTTCTTCTCTTGCTTTTTGCCCGGATGTGTGTTTCTTCATTTAGGCTTCTCATAGGCACATTCTTCTGGCAAACATATATACAGTCTACAGCAGTGGTTCTTAACCTTTGTTACTCGGATGTTTTTGAACTGCAACTCCCAGAAACCCGAGCCAGCACAGTTGGTGATGAAGGCTTCTGGGAGTTGCAGTCCAAAACTCCTGAGTAACCCAAGGTTAAGAACCAGTGGTCTACAGCATTCATAGGGGCAGCTCACCACTGCTGATCAAAAGCCTTTCTTTTGGCACATAAGTATGTAGTGGTGTGGTGAAGCCAAGGCTCCCAAGGTTAAAAAACAACAACACAGGACTTTCTGAAAATTAAGGATAATGACATTACCCACACACCTTCTCAGGTTCCCCTATTCCCTCTGAGTTAGGTGCAACTCAGGAACAGTGTTATTTGTGGCAAGTTGTCACTGTTGTAATGGAAAATAGTTGAGGGCAATTTACTCTTGAATGGGCAATTAAGAGCCATTGCCTTTACCCAAGACCTGCTTCCCTTCTGTTAATATGGACTGCTTCATCTGCTTGCATTTTTGGACTCTTCCAGGGGCGTGGCAGAACTAGCTATAGGAACTGTCAACAACAAGCACCTGCACTTCCCAAGTTATGACTTCATGGCTGTCTGTATGTAAATTTTCTCTGGTTCCACCACTGAGCTTCTCATATCACTCTTTGTTTCTAACTTTTCCCACAAAGTAGCCTGGCTCCTGCTTTTAGTGAAGACAGTGTTCCCCCCACTCCTATAGTAACACAATTTGTCTCCATCAAGGGTTGAATAAGATACAGCTTCTTAATCTCAAACGCTTGCCTCAAAGGATGAGGGTAGGAGATTTGGCCCAAATAATCCCAGAGTTGGGCTGGAAGTTTGATTCTCCAATGCTCTTCTGTGGCGTTTGCCCTTGTGGCCCCTGCTTGTCATTGCCCCACAAAGGCTCTTGTCGCATTTTCTTCTTGCTGCCACCAGTGGATTTCCTCAATCCACAATATAAATGATGTTAGTCTGAACACTTGACTTGTGAACAGAAACAGAACTTATTTACTGAAGTTAAGAAGATTGAATTCATAACAGAGGTTTCTCAGATAAACATTATGTGCAAGCAAATCATCAACAATTCTCTCAGTACATATTCTTTTCTCTTGCTATATCATTACCACCTTCTCTACCTATTTTCCTAACCATCTCTATCTCTCTCAGTATCTGTTCCTTCTCTCTCTGACTAAACAGCCCTATCTGACTCCTTCTTCTCCCGCCAAGCCTCATATAGCTGCTGACTCCGCCTCTCCAGTCCTCTCATAAGTTCATGCAAATCAGCTCATGAATATGAATAGCATGAGTGATGTGGCTGATCATCACAGCTTCCTAGAAGGAGAGCCAGCTGGTGTAATCTTGGACAAGCTGCCCAGTCTCAGAGTGTCCCCAAAGAAGGGAATGGTAAACCACTTCTAAATATTCTCTACATTGAAAACTCTGGAAATGGTAATCATTACTCAGAATTAACTTGACGGCATGCAATATTTATTTATGTAGGTGTTTATTTATTTAGATTTTTGTTTAATTTAGTATTAGTTTTCAACTGCTCTCTTATGGAAAATATCTGCAATTAGAGTTCTCTACCATATTCAGCCAAATGTCAAAACACTAACCAAATCAGGGCTATTTTTGCATCTCTGTGGCCATGGGAGAGAGCCAAGAGCCCGGTGGTACTCATAGGATGGAGCGTCCCTTCCCTGCCCCCAAGATTGTTCATGTTAAATCCAGCATTCATGAAATCAAATATTTAAAAAGACATGATGTATTTAAAAACAGAGAAAGGGAATGCAGTCTACTATCAATACCTTCTAAGGATGCACAGATTATTGGTATGAAAGGAAAGGAGAGTGTCAGCTTCACATCCCAATGAAACCCAAGACCTCTCTTGTACACTCCACCTGTTGAGCACTGGGGAGGATCTCTGAGCTGGACTGTAAACCCTTGGTGGCATTTTTCATACCTCAGTTGAAAGTCAGGGACTTGTATTTTTGTAGCATATTGGCTTTAAATTCTTGAATTTTCTCAGCCCTCTTCTTCTATTATTACTTACACTATTAGGACTCAAACTACACACATGTGAAAAATGTGAATGGATCTGTGGTGAAGTTGAAACTGGGAAGTCAGATTTCCCTGGGTGAATTTGCTTTAGCGGACTGCATAGGAGTTTGCAGAGACAGAAGAGGAAATTGGCAATCAATCTTATTTGAAGCTTGTTAAGGTAGCTCTGCTGTGGCCATCCAGATTTGCATAAGGCACAACAGAGCTACCTTAACACACTGAAAAGAAGTGCTGATTACCAATTTCCTCCTTGCACTCTGCTGACACTTCCTTCCTTCCTTCCTTCCTTCCTGCCTTCCTGCCTTCCTGCCTTGCCTCATTGTTGCTGTGGTGGGTGGAATTGATGTATGCATCAGCAGAAGTGATCACAATGTCAAAGCCGATGAGAATGCATTTACTTCAAAGAAAGAGAGAAGCTCAGGTTGAAATTCCTGGCTGACTGGTATTGATTTGTATTTTGTGTGTTCAATGGAAAATAATCTGACTGAGTCCAGGAGCAATTCCCATATTATTTGCTAATGCAGTAGCCCACTGAGTATGTATGTGTGCACATTCATGAAATGGGTTTGATTGCTTAGGCCAGAACTTCACTGCAAGAGGTTAGGATCTCTGTAGTTTAGGTATTTGGCTGTGGAGATTTGGAATTCGATTCCCATTGTTCCTCCTTGATAGGGCTGGACTCCATGATCCATAGTCTCCCTTCCAGCTTTGCAGTTCTAAATTGAGAATGATAATGTGTTTTTCTTCTCATATCCCTTTTGTTTCTCTTTTCATGCTAATGGGGTCACTGCCAAAGTCCATCTTAATGGCTGTCTCTTGCTTCTCTTTTTCTTGTGTTTTCCGGGCAGGGGCTGGGTAAATAATTTTGCCAGAAATAATTCTGATGGTTCTATGTAGCACCCATCTCCTACTGCTGCTGTTTGATTCTTCCCTATTCGCAGGAATGTCATCCCCCCCGCCCCGTGAATCAGTAACATGCAGATACCAGCATGGGTAGAGGCAGAGATTGGTTAAGAGTATCTCTAGAGGGCCACAGGGTGAATTGGGTCCTGATCTGTATGCCCTTCTTCAGACACAAACTCAATTGGGAGGCCCAGTGCACAGACCTACTTTTCAGATTAGTTATACAGGTACAATTGTTTTTGATCAGATGATGGCTACTAACTCTTCTTTGGCATCTGTTTATTATAGGAATGTTGTTGTTATGTCTCATCAAGTCCCATCTGATTTATGGCCACCCTAAGACGGTTTCCAAGGTATGTTCAAGGAGTAGTTTCTCATTGCTAACCCTTTCCCCTAAGTGAGTTTCCATGGTGAGTCATGGATTTGAACCCAGGTCTCCAGAGTCCTAGTCCACTATCCTATTCATTGTGCCACACTGGCTCTCACTGAAGGTATAGTGAGGTGCTATCAGTGGCACCTGACAGGAGGCAAGGGAGAGTCATCCCACGCTGTGGGGCCTGCCTGGAGAAGTGAAAATCATATTGGAGAGAATGGGAACAGAAAGAGGATCAAGAAAGCCTTGATTGCTCTGTGGTTGGATGTTCACATAGTCAGCCACTTTTAAGTGACTGGCTATGTGAACATTTGAGGTCCTGTCCAAGTGGGAGCAGCTTCAGCATGAAAAGTGAAAATCATATTGGAGAGAATGGGAAAAGAAAGAGGATCAAGAAAGCCTTGAACTGCTCTGTGGTTGGATGTTCACATAGCCAGCTACTTTTAAGTGATTGGCTATGTGGACATTTGAGGTCCTGTCCAAGTGGAAGCAGCTTCAGCATGAGTGCATAATGGCCACTCTCCATCCTTGTTTCTGATACGTACTGGCTAGCATCAGCAGAATGTCACAATGTCCAGCCACTCTCTTTACGCAGGCAGCATTGGCTGAAGGATGCTGTATAGGGCCCAGCCTCTTCTTTGGATAGGCAATATCACCATGGCGTTTGAATATTTAGTCCCCTTCAGCATCACAGTGTGGCCAGCCTCCCTCCATGTAAAGAGTGTGAGGTCACAATAGCCAGCTTTTCTCCTCCAGGTGGGCAATATCACCTGGTGTTTCCAGAGACTAGTTTCATTCATTGAAGTAGGCATCAGCATGTGGACACGAGGTCTTTCTCCAGGTCTGACTGAGGGAGAAGAGACAGAAGTATAGGGACACATTGTGGTTGTTCAGGTGAGCACACGCTGAAACTGGTAGGCACAGAAATCACCAGATAAGAGAAAAAGGTAGCTGGGCACTCCATCTATTTTAGGCTACTGTATTTATGAACCAGTGACTAAAATCCTGCTCTGTCCTCATCTATGGTAATTTTTCAGAAATGAGGCCCTGAGGCACCTGAGAAATATTTTTCATTGTTGGGAAGCCATAGGGGACCATGGGACATGGGGAAATCTTTAATTACTGAAAATCACAGCGGGGGGTGGTGGTTTGATTTTACGGGGAAATCTTTAATTACTGAAAATCACAGGGGTGGGTGGGTTGATTTTAACAGCAGTAGCAATTTTAGCTAATTAAAGACTCCCCCCATACCCCCCAAATCTGGCAACTCCTGATAGCTTTCTGTTGAGGAAATGAATCCTATAGGAGCCTTCGGAGAGGGGCATCAGAGATGTTTTACTTGTGGAAATAAAATCATCGCATCTGATGACATCATCACCTTTATGTTGTATAACTTGTGGAACAGGATTTCAGATTATATATATCCCAGTCATGCCCTGACACACGAAATGAAGAGATATAATGGAGGCAACCCAGGAATGTTAGCAGCCTGCCACCCTTTTGCCCAGCTAGATCATCTGGGCACCAGATGAAAGTGGGTGGGTGGGTGAGGGGCCACACATGGCCAATAGTAAGAGATTACAGGAACTTTAATCCATTTCATCTGGCTGGCTCAGACAGCCAAACCCTGCTGTCTGTTTATCAGTATCTCTCTCTCTCTCTCTGTCTGTTTCTCTGTGTCTTATCTACCTACCTAATTATCTCTCTCTCTCTTGCTATCTGTCTAATCATACGCTGGGTTTGAATCTCCTGAACACCCCCCCCTTCCTTTACTTCTGAAATATATTCACCTGCCCCACATTGCTCCACTCATCTGATTGCCAGTATCATAAAGATTTTTTTGTACAGAGGAGGTTGCACTGGTACTATAAGGCAAAGCTGTGCCCCATGCATGGGTTAAACAGATCAAGTTAAACAAATAAATAAATCCTAAAGCAGACCTCTGTTCATGGGTCTCACGATGATGAAAGACGGAGGGAAGGGAAGACACAGAGCTGACAGTTGCAGCTTCCCTCTGCTCTCTTAGCCAGCAAAGCTGACAAGTAGATTGCCCAGGACAGGCACTTACAGGTTACCCTGTCAGCTACTTGAATGGCCTGCTTCTTTTATCTGCCACCTTCACGGTGGACTTTGAAAAAGAGAGAGAGGGGATCTGTGCCCATCTGATGAGCTGGCTCACATTGGCATGTCGTCAGCTTTTGCAGCACAAGAGAAGACGAAAATTACAGTAGGATCTTTCATGTATCTGTCGGATTTGTGCTGCTGCTGGATTACACTGAGATCTTTGATGTTTGCAGATAAAGGCACAACATGGAAGGCAGTGGCAAAAGCAGCGCAGGCACCATCCAGGGTACCAGTTGTGGGACGATGACGGTAAAATGAACAGTTGCCACCAGCATGCAGATTGTTCAGTTCCATAGGGACATCTGTAGTGCATGCCCATGTGCATGTGGTTACATGACCATAGGATTATTGTTGTTTTCCCCACTGCCAGAGAATCTGGGACAAACCAGTGAACTCTTGAACAGGATATCAAATAGTTAGTGGGCCTGTTGGTAATCTTGCCGCTAGGCATGCAAATATCTTCACTTATTTTGTTCTCTGATGTTCAGTTCCATAGGGACATCTGTAGTGCATGCCCATGTGCATGTGGTTACATGACCATAGGATTATTGTTGTTTTCCCCACTGCCAGAGAATCTGGGACAAACCAGTGAACTCTTGAACAGGATATCAAATAGTTAGTGGGCCTGTTGGTAATCTTGCCGCTAGGCATGCAAATATCTTCACTTATTTTGTTCTCTGAGAGGAGAGTGAAATATTTGAAGTTTCTCCCCTATGAGATTTTGGGGCATTCTTCACCTTTCAAGAGGTGGGCCTTTTTTTGGCAAAAGGTTTATAGCAAACAGCCCTGAAATGTGTGTAAAAGGCCTTGTATGTTGCATCCAAGAGCATTATATTTTTTTTTTTGGGGGGGAAGTATTTTCATTAAAGACTTATATTTTGTGCAAAACGCAAGACTTGTTATGCAAAAGACAACGGTTCCCCCCCCACCCCCCAACTCAGGTTTTTGTTGCTAGTACTGTACTTCTAATGTCAAGGGGGAAAAACTCACTAATCTTTTTATTCTTGTATAGGAACAAAAATTTCCGAGTCCTTGACATTTTTTTTTCTACAGGATGTCTTGACGTATTGAGATACGCTTTTTTTTCATCAAGGACAGGACTGTTTGTGAGTATTCATTTTATCTTTACTTGCTCAAAATCTGTAGTTTCCCCCCCTCTGCTGCTGGGGCTTCTACTTTTTAGAAAATGGATCTTTTGACTTTCTGTCAGTCATGGGGTTGCTTGTATAAAAGCAGAAAAGAGAGGACGAGCCCCCTATGCGCGCACACAAAGTGATGCTTTGCTGAAGCACCTTCTGCCTCACCTCATGAGGGAAGATGATGCATGTACAAAGCAGCACCAGCACACTCTCTGGCAAAGCCTTCCAAGACTTTTTTTTCAACACCTTCTCCTTTGTGGGCAGCATTCCCTGCCCCCCCTTTTTTTACAGTTTAAGAACAGACTTCCTCTCCCTCAGCAAGAGTTCCTTTAAAAAAAAATTGAACAAGATGAGGAAATTAAGAAGGCAGCCTTATCACAACTTGTTAATGAAGTTTAGAGATGAGCACAAATTAGAAAAATTTGATTCATGATTCATCAAGGTTGAAAAATCATGAATTACAAATGTATGCATTTTTCCCCTGATGAATCAATTTGTCAATTCATTTTTAGCTTTAAATCCCTATAAAGTTGCCACCCCCAAGCACCAAGAGACACTAAAATTGCTGGGAAGCTTCCACTGACTCTCTTCTACAATCCCTCCAAGTTTGGTGAGGCTTGGGTTTCAGACATCCACGTTATACACCCACAAAATGTCCCCCCCCACCAGGAAAGTGCCTTTTGGCAGATGGCTTGGGGAAACCCAATGTCCACCATACTTGGATGGGGTTTTAGATGAGAGTCACTGGAAGCTTCTCTGTGATTTTGGTATCACTAGATGCCTGGGGAGAAATTTACTTGGGGGGGGGTGTTCTTTGTGGGTGCCTCTTGGACACTTGAAATCGAATCTTCGATTTTCGAGAAATTGTAGAAAGGAGCTGGAGGAAGCTACTCTGCAATTTCAGTGTCTCTAGGTGCCTTTGGAGGTCATTATATAGCCAAACAAATAAAAAAAATCACTACAATTCATTGATTTGTGATTTGTCGGGACATTGATTCATATGAATATGAATGAATGAATTAGCAATTTTTTGAATGAATTTGGTGATTCATTTTTTAAATCCATGCCCATCTCTAATGAAGTTCTTTGTAATGGTGCCACCTGCAGGGCTATAAATAGAACTGCAAGCAAGAAGCAAGCAAGGTTTTTTTTCTTGTGTTGCCAGGGAAATCCAACAAGCTTGAATTCTCTGGTACAATTTCACAGTGAGTGAATGTGAATGAATCCGCATTTCCCTCACAGTGTACTCATACCCTAAGTCTCTAGATTACTGAATGAAGGTAGGTTTGTTAGTATGCTTCAGAAATCTATGTTTTCTTTAAACCAAAGCATTTTTTTTTAAAAATCCAGCTATTATGCCTTTGATTTCTTGTTCTGTGAAACAGGCTGTGTTACTTTGAAAGATTGCTTGACTTTACAAAGGTTTTAATACAGATTCCATTGTTTTATTTGGTTACCTCCCAAATCTGTAATATAAGAATCAGCAGGAACCTACTCATCTGAAGCCAATAGGAAATCTAATTAGCAGGAGAGCTGGCATTTTTAAAAGCACACAACCCCTGAATTCAATCAAATAGACATATATGAGTTTATTTTACTTTTTCAAAAAGTAAGTTTGGGCTCCAAACTTATTTTTAACATATGAAGAGTTCCACAAAATTCAGGGCGGGACCAAACAATTGTTCCACATTGATACATGCTTTCTGTACTGCAAAGCTGCAGATCATAGCAGTTGCGTGATTCATGCGGTCATTGCTTTTTTAGCCCTGGACATTTTGCTTCAACTTTCCACACACTAGTTGATACTGTATTAGTAACATTTCTCCTCTACTCCCTCCCCTTGCTTATCCTTACTCTGCTAATATTACCACCTTCTTTGCTGCCCTTTATACACCCATTTCCATCCTGATATATAAATGGACAAACAACAGTTCTGGGAAATATACAATTACTGGAATACATGTACTTTGTTGTACATGTATTTCATGGATCTTTTGCATATAGTCACTGATTCAATGTCCTTTGAAAAGGAGAGGCAAAATGAAAAACCACAAAGGTGCCGAAATGATTTAGCAATATACAGTATCAGTATAGTGAAATTTTTTAAAATTATGAACCAAAGGAATTGTTTCACTTAAAGTTACATTTTTAGATACTTGTTTTTCATCTTTTTATTTATTGTATGAGTATTTCATGCTTCTGTTATCTATTGCTGTTGATTGAAGTCCTGTAGCTGTGATCAGATTGGCAATAAGAACCACATGGAAGTGTTATTTAAATCGATTTTGATTTTATCGTTCACATGACCTACATGTGAAATCTGTTTACATGGGCTGCAAAGTGAGTTTTTTTTCCAGTTGGCTGGCAGGGGCTTTTTGAAAAGGCCTGACTTCTAAAATCAATCCAATTCAATGCTGTTTTGTGGATATGAACGCTGCTGTTATGTTAATTTGTGCCTATGAGGATTTTGGATGGCAGGTACGCTGCTTTTAATTTTTTAAAAAAATTCTTTCTTAAAATGTTTAGCGCTGTATCACTTCATGAATATGCTTACCATTACACTCACCTACAGCTTTCTCTCCATTTGGCTGATGAAGGAGCTGCTGGGGCAACAGAAGACCATCAGGCATACAGCTGGTGCAGAGCGGGCCTTTTCTGGATATGGAGGATAGGCCAAACGTCATGAGCATCACCTCACAAAGCAGATAGAAGCCTTCCCCCCCATTCTCATATTTTCATCATTAATTGACAAGGGGTCACCTCTTCTATCGTTTCTAGCAAGTATCATGACACCAGGTGGCATCTTTTAGATGGTTGATTTGTCGGTGTATCACTTACATTTAAAAAAAATCTAAATCTTTAAGAACAATGTGCTCTTAAAACAGAAAGAACATGAGCTAATCTCAGCAGTGTAGACACCAAAACCAGTTTAAAATACCGGAAATAAATCCATTTCCATTTGGTGCATGTGAACGCCGCCACCAGTTTAAATACCATGTGACTTGAACCTGAATTTTAAAAAGTCTGGATAGAAATAGATTCAAATGGCCAGTGTGACCCCAGACTTACAAAGTCTTTAAGAACCAATATAGTACAGTGGTGCCTCGCTTAACGACGATAATCCGCTCCAGGAAAATCGCTGTTAAGCGAAAACATCATAAAGCGAAATTAAAAAACCCATTGAAACGCATTGAAACCCGTTCAGTGCATTCCAATGGGTTGAAAACTCACTCTCCAGCGAAGATCCTCCATAGGGGTGCCTGTATAGCGAAAAATGGCTCATAAAAACAGCGGGGAGCCATTTTGTACACCCGGTGGCCATTTTGAAACCCGACGATCAGCTGTTTTTAGATCGTTGTAATGCGAAAATCGGTTCCCGAGGCAGGGAACCGATCATTGTGAAGCAGATTTTTCCCATTTAGACCATCATTTTGCAATCGCTTTTGCAATCGCAAAAACCTAATCGTCAAGCAATTTCCTTGTTAAGCGAGGCAATCATTAAGTGAGGCACCACTGTACTAAAATGGTTTATATAAGTATGTATAGCACAGAATTTGTTTAGTTAGACTGTCGACTGATCTAATGCTAGAATTGTTGATGCTTTCATAAATGTAAAGAAAAGCTGTTGTTATTTTAATCTCAGCGTAAACAAGTGGGAGGGAAGAGGCAAATATACTCACTCCCAAACTGCACCTCACTGTATGTCTTGATCTACATTCTCAAGACATACCCGGCAATGTTCTGGAGGGACCTCCCAAAAATCATTCACACAATATGACTCTGAGCAACCCCCCCCAAAAAAAAACAGTGAGAAGAAATAAAACAACGAAAAGGAGCAGTGAAGGCTGAACAAAATGTGTCTGCTGCTCACACAAAAAGATCAGATCTCCCCTGGATTACCAAGAACATTGTCCGATCCTCAGAGAAAAATATCAAAATGATTGGTAAAGAACTGGAGATAAATGAGAGAACAAATATTTCCAGTTTCTTTAGAAATGTTCATTTGGCTGAACAGAATACGCAGCCTCATCCTTTTCCGTCTTGATTTCACCAAGTTGCACGGAACGTAACCTTAGAAAAGTGCTCTTCCTAAACGTTGCTGTAAATGTAGTTTTGGAGGAAAATTTCTCCCTAAGGACAGGGTACAAAATGTTTATACATTATGTCAGCAAAAGATGTGCAAGATACAAGGCTTTGCAGATTAATTTGTTAATGGCTGCAATGCACTTTGAAGTTAGAAAGTGCTATGTAAACTTTAAGTATGATTACAGTGGTGATGTATTTGTGGTCCATAATCTACTTTTAGGATTGCTGTAATTACTGGCAAGTTCTTTAAAGCCTCAATAGCTGCTTTATAATTAGCCGCCCTGAACCAACTTATCTACCACACAATCAGATAATTTTCTCAGGAATGGTTTACACAAGTACTCAACCTTTGCCATTACAAATAATTTCACATGATAGTGGTATATTTAATACCTTGTCTTAATTTTAATTGACTTGGATAGGATTTCAGTTGACTTAAGCTTTCAGTTATGCGGTACTATACGGAACAATGGCACCTAGAACACTTGTCTAAAAATTCACTGGTACCTTTAGTGTGGTGGCATGGCTTATATTTTCGCTCTTCAGAGAAGTACCACATTTACACCATGTTTGGAGTAAATACCTGGTGATAACTTTTAAGTGCAGAAGCATGTGATATTGTACATGAATGGACCTGCACAGTTGAATTGGGACTGTATCTCCCCATATAAGTCTTCTCGGTACTTAAGATCTCGGTCCCATTGCCATCACAGGCACTGTTGATGGGGATACAAAAGAGGACCTTCTCTGTGACAACCTCCGAAATGCTCTCCCTCAGGAGGCTAAGTTGGCCCTCTCCCTTCTATCCTTTCTCTGACAATTGTAGACCTGCCTTTTCAGGCAGACTTTTAACAATCATGATTGAGTCCCCCTGGATGCCATTTTTAAAAGTTAAGATAGTTTTTAATGTTTTACATGTTTTTAATCCTTCAATATTTCTAATCAGTTTTACAGTTTGTTTTTAATGTATAACATATGTTTTTAATTCTGTTCTTTTTAATACTGTGAGCTGCCTTGAATCCCCTTATCAGGAGAAAGATAGCCTATAAATAGACAAATAAAATAAATAAAAATGCGTTACCAAGACACTGATTCACACAACAATCTCAAACCTGTGTGTTTTTTCCCCTGTCAGTGAACCAAATTTATGCCATTGAGACATATATAAATAAAAAATAATTTCAGGATGTTCCAGCACTCTCTGCTGATCTAGAGAACTAGGGATCCAGTTTGTGCCTCTGTACTCATTCATTTTGTTTTGTGTGACTCCAGTCTTTTCAGAAGCTACCACAAGAATCATTCATTTCAACTAGAAGGCAGAATATAAAACATCAGTATATGTGAAATGTATTTACAGGCTTCATGCCAATTGACTCAAAATGAGTTCACAGCTTAAAATAATAGTTTTTTTTAACTTTAATAGGTACAGTACAAAAGTAGAAAGGAATTATGGATGGCCGAAAATGTTCTTTTGTGAGAATTAATCAAAAGTAGCAGAATTCAGGTGTGAGAGGAAGGGAAGTCAATCAATATGCCCAGTTCCTAAGGCTAGGTTAGACATTTTGTTTGGGTTTTTTTAAAGCTAAACTTTAGTAACGTTTGCTAAATGTGACTGTTAGAGGAAGTCATGTGCCCCTCTCTAAAAGAGATGAAGAAATGTATCCATGGAAAGGTATGGCATCATTTATGGCTTAGTAGCGGGCAGGGCACATTACTTCACAGACTAACCTTAATGTTTATGTACTGAAGGAGAAGAAGATAAGACATTAAATACCCCAGGCAACAGGCAAGACAATCATGGGAGGGGGGGAGAGATTAGCTCCTCGGAGTTTAGCTCTTCTCAGTGAGAGAGGTGCTAACTAGCAATGGGTCATAGCCTGACCAGTAGAGGAGAACTTGCTAACTCATCTCTCTCTCTCTCTTACTCCATGAGAAGGTAGGAGGTTTTGTTAGAGAGGAAGACCACCCAGCTGAACTGGAAGGGAAGGAAGAAGCCGAACAGAGCGGCAGGTTTTTGGATGGCAGAAGCCAAACAATAGTTCATCTAGCTAAGCCAACTGAGAGGCCTGAGGTCATTCCACCATTCCCCATCCCCCCATCAAGAAAAAAATTAAATAATATACTGTCACTGGGGCTTATTTCCCACGTTTGAAGATACTCTCACTGGATTCCACCGTAAATATGTACAAACAGTCCAGTGGAGTGAATGGAAGTTACATTAACAGCATCGCTTACTGGACTGAACCACATATTGTTGCCATTTGAAAAGAACTGAAACGTGGAGGCCCGCCTTCCTGGATTTATGGGGAAAGCCTGTTTGTTTTTCATACACTAGAGAAAACTGTCTAAAAATAGTTCATCTTTGTGAAAACATTACTCCTGGAATGTTACCAAGGGCAACAAGAGTCTGAATTATCAGCCTTGTTAACGTTCACATAAATTCAAGATGTCAAGCATTAACTTGTTCAGCTGAGATTTTATAAAAGCCCTTCCTTTTCCTGTGCTTTAGGAAATTCCCCTTCTCCTGTCTGTTACATTTCAGAAGCATGGTTGCTGTTCCACTCTGCAAGAAGCAATGGGTGGATGGAATTCCAGATCCACAGAATATTAAATGAAAGAATCATACTTGGCTATTTTCTGCATCACAAGCAGAACCAAGGGGAGACCTTGACGCAAAAGATTTTAAAGCCTCAGTTCCGTTCTCGAAATCAAAACTTGTAAAAGTTATAAAAAAGAACGACAGGGAACTATTGATAACTGGCAACGGTTCCCCAAATCAGAAAAACAACAACACACTAGCTATTGTCTAAACAGCCTTATGTTGGTCTCCCTTTGTTTTTAAATGAATTAATCTAGAATTTAATCAGGAGCAGTGCCTGCGCTGTTTCACTCATTAATGTGGACTGAAATTGTCAGTCCATGCAAACATATTTTTAACAAGTAGAGTATGATGCCCCCTGCTCCTTTTTAAAACTGTATACATTTCCTAAGAATAAAAACTGGTTAGACTGTTTTAAGAAGCAGATGATACATGAAATGCACATTGTGGAGCCCTTGCCCCTTAAAATATTTTTATTAGGGATTTTCATGCAGACAGGGCAGATGTAAGGACAAATAAACATGCCTGTCACTTATCATGTGCCCTGGCCACTTAAACAGCATCAGTTAAAAATCAGGCACCACCCTATATAGTTCTTCTCTTTTGATAATAGAAAGTTCACATGCTCAGCTCCCTCCAAAAAATGAAGTTAAAACACTCCTAGGATTTATTTCTGTCCTGTTGGAAGGAGAGCTGTCCCTACTTTTGCCCTCTTAACTTGCCACACTGTCACTACTACTTCTCCAAAGTAGTTCAGAAGAAGAGTCGGGCACTCAAAATTTCACAAATGGTTGACTTTTCCAAGCTTCGTTCTGTAGCCCAGTGATTCCCAACCTTAGGTAACCCAGGTGTTCTTGGACTGCAGTTCCCAGAAACCCCAGCCAGCACAGCTAGTAGTGAAGGCTCCTGGGAATTGCAGTCCAAGAACACCTGGGTTACCCAAGGTTGGGAATCACTGCTATAGCCTATCATCAATATATATATACACACAGTTTAATCAGACTGAATAGTCCTCCTTAGCCTACAAACACGTGGGTGGGGATGAATGCAGAGAATATTGAAAT